CGGGGGCAGGGTCCCCGTGACCTGCGCGGCGGGGGCAGGGTCCCCGTGGCCTCGCTTCTCACACAAGCCTGCGGGCTCGAAGGGACCGGCCCACACAGGAGGCGGGGGACAGCCTGCCGGGCACGTGGGCCGGGCGGGAAGCAGTGGGCGGCTGTGCGCGGGGCCTAGCTGGGGGAGCGAACGAAAGTTGGCGGCCAGGGGCTCCGGAGGGGGCCGCCTGACCTGTGCCAGCAGCCTGGAAGTGACCGGTCGCTGCAGATGCACACAGGGCGGACGGGAGGCCGCAGGAGAGAGGTGCAGGGCGCAGGCCGGCGGTCGGGCCCGGGACCCCGCACGGTCACGGCGCTCGGAGGTGGACGGGCGAGCTGTGGCGGTGACGGCTACTTGAGCCACGTGGAGAACCTTCGGGGGAGTCGGGCCCCGCCGTGCTGGGGGTGACCAGTGGCCCGCCTGGCTGAGAGCCCCGCCGAGCCCCGCCCAGGAGAGCCGCAGGCCCAGGCTGCGCCGTGACCGCCTGCGGCCACCTTGCCTGCAGCTACGGACAGCCACTTGGTGGCAAGGATTCAACAGTTGGTGTCTGTGTCCGTAGACCCCGGCAAGGACCTCGCCGTGCGCGGAGATGAAGAGGAAGGCGGCGAGCGCCGGCCGGCTGCGCCTCAGCCCCAGCGAGGAAGCACGTGTGGTGAAGGAAGACTCCGAGAGGAGGCGGAAGCTGAGGCTGCTGCAGGTGTGCCTGGTGCCGGCCGCTCGCGGCGGGGCGGCCCAGCCTCTCCGGGCACAGGCCTGCACCTCAGCCTGCGGGCGCGCTCGGAGGGGGCAGAAGGGGCAGCGAGGCGGCGGCCGCAGCGGAGCCCGGAGATGGGGCTGGCTGGCCCAGCGGTCAGGGGGGCGTAGCTCCGTGGTCACTGCTCACGTAGGGCTCTGATGGACGCCGGCAGGCGACTGAGGAGCAGCCGCCCACATTGACCGCTTGAGGCCTGCAGGCCGGCCCCAGGCCTTTGGCAGTAGAGCAAGTGCCAGTGATGCTTCCTTGGACAGGCCAGGGCCCGCCGGGGCTTGGTGGGCAGCCCGGGGCGCCCGCAGGAGCTCCCGGCGGGGTGAGGCCAGGGCCCCACGCGCGACAGTTCAGAAACCTGAGGAAGTCGCCCCGAGAGTGCAGGTTTTCCTGCAGCACCTGGGCTTTTGCTCGCCACAGGCTTTGCCTGCCTGACAGACCTGGTGGCCGAGGGGGCGTCCCGGTTTGCAGCTGGCCCCCAGTTGCACTTTTTGTTTGTTTATCAGTACACGCAGGAGGAACGGGGGTGCAGGCCGGGGGTGCGGGGGTGAGAGGTCTTCCCGGAGACGGCGGGGAGCAGAACAGGTGGATGCCCTGAAATCCTGAGGGGGCGGCGGGGAGATGGGTGTGCTGCACCCTGTGGGTCACCCCCTGGCCGGGGATGGACTCGGGTCGCGGCAGCTTCCTGGTGCCGAGACTCGTTCCCGCAGAGGGCTCTGCAGTGACCCTGCGCAAAGCTGAGGGAGCCGCTGCTCACCCCGAGGCGCTGGTCTCCAGGTGCGGGAACAGGAAAGGGCCATTGCGTCTCGCATCAGAGAGGACGTGAAGCAGAGGAGACGGCGGCACTGCGCCTGCCTGGCCGAGGCGCTGAGGGCCCAGTGGGAAGAGTCGCACGCCCGGAAAATAAGGAACTTGGAGAGCCTCTACTTGGCGAGTCTGCGGAGCATGGGACAGGGACATCAGCGCGCCAAAGAGAACGTGAGTGGCCACAGGCCGCGGGGGCAGCGGGTGGGGGCGGCAGGCGGCCCTGCTCTGGGTGTTCGGGGGCCTCG